TTGTCATGTAACTCGTGTGAGTTTATAAGAACAGTGTCTTTGTGATTAAATGGTCCCAGAAGTTAAAAATGTAGTTAAATTGAGGTATAAATATAAATATCAGAAATGAATGACACTCAATAAAAATAGCATTTTCTAGAGGAATTCCAAGACTTTCACAGTTTGGAAACCTTCTATCCCTCCAAAGTCTCTGTGTGTTTCTCTCAAGTTTCCTATTGTTTCCCATGTTCTTGGGGAGCAAACTAGTAATACTCACCCAATCTAATGATGATGTTTCTATTAAGTATTACAGTCAGGTGATGTGTTTCATGTAATTTGTGACACAGAGAGAATGAGCTTCTTGCTTCCAGCCTATCCTTTAGGAGTCATGCCATGCTCTCAACATTACAAGTTCAGCTGAATTAATGGTTTAGATTTTACTGCTTGGCTTGGGTTTTATTCTCTCTTTCATTGATAAAAAGAATTTGGCCTCAGAAACCATCCCTTTCATCAAGTACCAAGAGATTCTGCCAGATGTAAAGTGAGCTCTACTTTTCATTCACTGGAATCATTTAGAAAGTTTTTAGATATTTTTAGTACATATATCCACACATGTCCCTTGTTTTGCATAAGGCTATCCACCAATGTGTATCACATTTATTTAATCCACTTTTTGACCTTTATCTAGAATTTATATTCAACTGAAAAATGATGGTAGATGCCAAGCTGAAACAGAATCAACAAGCCAATATGTCATTTGTACAGACGTAATTAAATATTTGGATAGATTCAGGAAGTAAGAATTTAGATTAAACAAAGAGATAAACTAATGGTTACATGTGTCTTTTTCTGACTTTATAGACTTTGTATTGAATAATGGGAAATACTTCATATTTAAGACCTTTGTAAATTATCATTTATCTTGCCTCTTTCTTGGATGTTTATAAAGACTAAGATGATCAAGCTCAGGTCATTTTAAATCAGTTTAGATTTTCTACTTAAATAGTTACTTTATAATTATGCTTACTAAAGAGCTCAAAAGCATTCCTTCCAGAACATTGTAGTAGCTATGTTTTATGTGAGGTATGGGCTAAATTAGAGTGATTCACATTTTCAGCATTGAATGGGCGTGTTTGTCTCTTATGCTCTGAGGCTTGCTCTTCCACCTTGTGTAACATACATTTAAACCGTTTAATATAAATACGTATGAATACACCCATGTTTAAATGTACTCCCAAAGCAAGTAGAGATAACTGCCTCTAGAGAAGCAATAATTAGGTTCCCAGCTGTTGTTCAGGGTAAACTTAAGGACTTAAGGATATAGTTCCCAGAGGAAGAACTACTATAACTACAAGTTGACAGTGTCTTTAAACAAAGAAACAAAAACAAATGCCCTTTTGATCCTTTTCTCTATTAGGATTATGTCTTCAGAATAACCACCCCCTCATTATTGAATCCAGTGAGCTTAGCTACCTCTTCCTAAATTCACTCCTACAGGAAGATTATATGTTTTGCCCCACTGGATCAGAATGGACCATGTGGATTCGTTTGACCAATAATCATGAATGGAAAAATGACAGCCATTCTTGAGCAGGATCTGGTATTTCTCATCTCTTTTTCTCTCTTTCACATCAACATATCCCAGACTATGGGAAGTTGCTCTTTTAGTGTGGTTCTTAGTATGAAGGGTACCTGGATCAGAACTGCAGCCGACATAGAGTGGACATTAATGTGAGCAAAAGTGCATCCTTGTTAATGTAAGCCACTGACATTTCTAAATCATTTATAAATACAGTATAACTTAATCTAAGCCAGAATTTTTCAACCTTGAAACCACGGATACGTAGTCTGCATAATTCTTTGTTGGGTGGGAGGAGGTTTCCTGTCATTGTAGTATGTGTAGCAACATCATTGGCCTCTACCTTCCAGGTGTCAGAAACACCAGTCCCCTATTTGTGACAAATAAAACTGTCTCCTGATACTGCTAAATATCCCCTCAGGAGGACCCAGTTGAAAACCACTAGTCTCAGCCTATACGTTCTTAAAGTGGGGTTCCAGAGCCAGCAGTATCAACTACATCACTTGGGAATATGTTAGAACTGCAAAGTCTCAAGCTCCTTTCAGACTGTCTGAATGAATAGGGCTGGGGATGGGGCACTGCCAGCTAAGTTGTAATAAACCCTCAGGTTCTGAACATTTAGGTTTGAGAACCGCTGGCCTAAGCTGACTGTTACACAAGTTTCCTTGTATAAAGAGAGGGCATCATTATTGCTTTTACTTATATATGCTCAACTCTTGATGCTTAAAGCATAAGAATTCCATTTTTGGTGAATCTGTAAGACTTTAGAAGATGCTACATGTGTACTTCAGCATAATACCTATCATACAAATTAATGTTTTCTAACCTTAACAAATTTACTCTGGTCTTGTAATCTAGTGATTCACTGTATCACAATAACTCCAAATGAAGAAAGAAAAAGCAAAACAAAACTCCAAAGTGGAGCAGCATTCTAATCTTTATGAAATGATGTAGGACAGTTTTTGGCTTCTGTGATTTAGCCTTTGTACCTTCGTTTTATGTAAGCATGATATATTTATTTATTATTTATTTCTGGCTGTGCTGGGTCTTTGCTGCAGTGCAGGCTTTTCCCTGGCCACGGCCAGCAGGACTGCGCTTTAGGTTCAGTGTGCGAGTTTCTAATTGGGTGTCTCCTCTTGTTGCAGAGCACAGACTCTAGGGCAGGCAGGCTTCAGTAGCTGCCACTCCCAGGCCCTAGGACACAGGTTCAAGAGTTGTGGTGCTTGGTTGATCTGCGTGCAGCAGGTGGGATCTTCCAGCATCAGAGACTAAACCTGAGGCTCCAGCATTGGCAGGTGGATTCTTAATCACTGAGCCACCAGGGGAGACTTAAGCACATTTTATATAAACATAATTTATTTTTGACAAGTGGAGAATTGAGAATCTGTACTTAACAATTCACAGGTTCATTGAATCGCAACATTTTTTATCACAAATAATTGCTGTTCTTTCCATTTGATTCTTTTGTGTATCTCTGTACTGGTGGTCCCTCTTAAGCGTAAGCATAAGAAACAATTTTGCAAAGTACGTTATTACCATATGTAAAGGTGTAGGCAGTATACATTGTAATGATAATTTATATAGTTAGAGGATTGGGCATCCCCTACCCCCAGGCTGGGCCTTCCCTGGTGGCTCAGTGGTTAAGGATTCACCTGCTGATGCAGGAGACATGGGTTCAATCCCTGGGGTCAGGAAGATCCCCTGGGGAAGGAAATGGCAATCCACTCCAGTATTCTTGCCTGGTGAATCCAATGGGCAGAGGAGCCTGGCAGGCTACAGTCCATGTGGTCGCAAAAGAATCTGACATGACTAAGCAAATAGCAACAACAACCTCTAGTTGAAGTTAGTAATATGAGGTGAAAAATCAGAATTAATTTGATCACATTAGCTCAGAAAATTATGTGCTAGGAAATTATATCACTTTGAATGACATAAATATTTTAATCTGTTTCTCCATGCTTCCCCCTTTTGGAGAGGAATGTTTACGGACAGAAACACTCTCATAAGCTTTTCCTTGATACTCTTCTCATTAGCTCTCAGTAGAACATGGTCTCTACTACACTTGATAAGTATTTTCAAAGTCTTCCTAAAATCAGAATTTCAGGATGGTAATTGTAACCCATGCAAGATAAATACAAGAAATTTACCCTTTAGTTTTTCTGCTTTTTATCAAAAGATTAAAGACAAAGAGCTGATTACACAGTGATAGGTTTATAGAATAGACTAGGAAAAATGCTCCATGTCAGAAAACATAATATACATCTTATGTTTTTGGCACGTCACTGTCTTCCACACACTTGGCCATTAACTCTTAATTATATGCTTTGAGTAAAAATATCCCTTCTAAAGATTTAAAAAAAAGAAAAACTTTTAAAGATTTTTTTTTTTTTTGCTATTTTTTAGGAAGGAATCTTGATTTTTATTGTACAGTAGGACTGTATAAAATTAAATATCCTCAAAATAAAAAGCCCTTGAATTTGCTCTTTAAAAGAGAAGGTGAAGTCTTTCCCTGTAAGCCATTATCTGCCTGCCGGTGGAGAGTGTCGTGATCTATTTTTTAGGTCCTTTACACTCTTGAATTTGATTTGTGCTTTTATAGCACGAATCCCAACATTCGGGAGGCAGGTCTGCCTGATTCGGCTGCCTGCAGCTATGGAGAATTAGTCTGTCATTCTCAGTGTCCTGGAGTGTGTGTTATGTGTGAGAGTGAGTGAGTAAGTGTGTGTGTGTGTGTGTGTGTGTGTGTGCGGGCGCGTGCGCGCACGCCTCTGTATCTGAGGCGGGGTAGCCTAGAGTGATTTAAACGTGAAGAGGGTTAATCGTGCAGCATCTCATTCAGGCTTGGCTTTGAAACCTGTGGCATGCTAGGCTGGACAGCCGCTTTCCGTGCCTCTGTTTTAATTTAGCAGGATGTTTGCTGCCATGGCAGCCAGCAGCATCCACTGCAGCAGCAGGGGAAAGCCGTAGATCTCCGAATGCAGGTGGAATGCTAAAAGACGAGAGGCTCGTGCAGGGCTGGCTTCAGCGCTGAATCTGCTCTTACGGGGCTCTGAAGAGGAGGCTCTGCATGCTACACCGTGTCAGCTCCTCTGGAGTTAAGGGCTGCAGACCCAGATCAGTGAAGGGCTGGGGAGAGACGGGGGGGGAAAACACAGTCAGAGACATCTGGGGTGCTTGTGCTTCCCTGCGTTTGGGAACACAGAAGCGATCGAGTGAAATGTGGACCCATCTCCCTGCTGAGACATGTGATTGGATGAAGACTGGAAAACGTAGTTGGCTTCCTGGGCTACTTTGCAGCTGGAGAAGTGTCTGGTGAACTCTCTTCTGCTTCCGATGTGTCCAAGCAAAGTGTTTGTGAGTACTGCTGATGAGGGTGATGACGTGGCAAGCTGAATCGTGGGCAACTCATTGATTGTGCTACAGCTCTAGAATCTAACATGAATGTCTGAGCCTGGCCTGGACTTTCTTGGAGTGCATGTGTTCATTATAAGCGAAAGACAGTATGAAGTCTAATTGAAAAAGAAGCCAATAAAGAGAGCCATGCAGCAGCCAGCTGGACTCTCTGTGTTTCGAAGCAAAGAAGGAAGGCCAAAGAGAGCTTGTCTCCAGAAGCAGAAATCTCTGACCAGCCTGTCCCTCACCAGCGAGGGGGAGAGGCGCCCTGCTGTGCGCATTTCCAACTGGTTTGGAAATGCCGCCAAGGCCAGCCAGAGGGAATGGAGCTACGCAGAGAGGCGCTCCCTCTCGAGGTGCCCATCCCGCTCTGCGCAGTCCCTGTATCACACGAGCCTCCCTGGGGCCTGGAGCCTCCTGCCCGCCAGCCGCTCAGGCAGCGAGAACTTAGAGCAGTGGACTTCCAGAAGAGGCTTGGAAGGTGACAGTGATGAAGACAGCCGGTCTGAAGACGAAAATGTGTCCTCCAGGCCCGGCAGCCTCAGCCGGAGCTGGGCTGAGGAGGAGGGAGAAAGCTGCCTGCGGGAAGGCACAGCCCATCTGGATGAAGATGTCATCCTGACGATGCTGGGCGATCTGGAAGAGGCCCTTTACACTGACTTGTTGGGTAAGTCGGGTCTGCTCCTGAAAGGAGGATGGAGTTTTAAGGAGCTGCCCTTTTGCATGAGCCATAGAGCTTCTGTTCTTCCTAGTGACTTAAAAAAACAAACAAACAAAAAAAACTTTGTGACTCAAAAGAGTTTTAAATTCCTTCTGTTTTGAAATGATTGTCTTTTGCAAACTGAACTATGAGAAGTAGTTGTAAAGTCTACATGGAGAAAGGGAATAGCAAGCACCTGTCCTGGGCATTATTGGTTCAGAGTCTAGATAGCCATAATTAAGTGTTCACGATTTAAAACTCCAAATGTGCTTTTCACTTAGTCATCAGTAGGGCCTATTTGTTCAACTTCTCTCAAGGTGACCTCACCACAGATTTGGCATGAAGAATGATGGGGCTCGTGGGTCAGTTTTTTGTGTAGTCAACTTTCTCCTGCTCTCTCCCTGGTGTCTGAATAGATGGCCTTGTCTGTACTTCAGTGACAGCACCATGCATTCTAGTTACACTTCCAGAAATGCAGAGGTCTCTTCTGACAACTTGACTCACTCTTTAAAAAGTATTGGACAAAAAATATTTCTGAATGTGTGCATTCTAACTATTTAAATCTCTATGTAGATGAGTGTGAACTATTCTGATGCTTAGAAACTAGGCCTTTTTGATGACATGATTGTTAGGAGTAACTTCTGACATAATCTTTAATTAACTAGGTATGAATAAGTCTGAAGTAACTCTTTAGTTTACCACTTGCCTGAATAGGTAAACTATATGAAAGTGAACTGAAATACTTTAAATCCAGTGCTGTACTGTACCATATTTATATCATAGTGTGCCTTCTTCAAAAACTCATAAGCATTTAACCATTGACCACATCCTCTTTCATATCACTGTGCTTATTTCCACAAAGGCCTTCATATAGGACCCCTTATATTCATAAGAACTAAACCAGACCAGTGATCTCTTTGTTTCTGATTCATTCAGCTGATGCCAGATACAGGTCTGCTTTTATTGTCTTTGTAGACCTTCCTGTTACGGGAGGTTTTGTGAGATTTTCTGGAATCCTGGTGAACCAGCTTTAGAGGAAGAGAGGTTAGGGAGACAGAGAGGCAGATACCGCTCCATTCTGCATGTCAGCTTAGCTTTCAAAGAAGAATGTTTCTGCAGGTGAAGGAATGGTGATTTCTGAACCTGAATATACCAGGTGACCAGACATTGAAGATTTACTTCTTCACCATTGTGTGATTTCTGTGATGAACTGCTTCTCATTAAAAAAAAAACAAAAACCAAAAAAACTGCCTCCAGTACAAAGGCAAGAGAAGGAGTCTTAATCCTTAAACCTCCTTTTTCTTCTCTTGATCCTCTGAAACGGTAGAATCAAATCACATTTGTCTTTTGCTTTGAAAGTGGTAGCATTTATCTTGTTCCGAGTACCTCTTATGTAAGTATTTTCAAAGATATGACCAGAGTGAAGTCTTCTGACAGCATGTGTTGGTTGTTCTGTTAAATTATAGCAGGCTGTGGGTGGGTGTGTATATGACACATGCCTTTTTGTGCATAAATAACTTGGAGCATTACTGTCAGAGGGTCAGCTCTCCATGGGTGTCTGTGTAGTCCATGGTTTTTAAACAGAGTATCTGCTAATTTTATTTATGGGACTGTTCTCTGCAAGGCTTTTTTCTCCCCCCAACAGATGCCAGTATTCAAAAATGCAGATGAGAAAGTAAGAGGAAGAGTTTATTCAAATAGCTCTGATATGAATAATCATATCAGGATAATGAAGCATTGCAAGGCAATTCCCTAAGTAATGATGCATTTTAAGTTGGTAAATATATCCAAGCCCATAGCACACAGGAATTTCAGGATTTCTGCCACGTGCTTAACTGGGTTCTGCTTCTGACTCAAAATGGCCTCTTCCAAGTTAGTTTTTAGTCAGAGTTCCCTGAGTTCAACTCTTTATTCTTATATCTTCTAATAAATCAGACAGGCTAGGGTTTGTGTTATAACTACATAGGAGAATATTTAAAAGGTAACTAGTAAAAGTGCTAGCTATATTATGTTATTTTTGCCCCCCAAAGTGTCTGGTTTACCCTGATAAGTTGAAAAATTTTGTATCCAACTCCCTGTGTTGGGGGTAATCCATAAAACTAGGGTAATTTCTCCAAATAAATCAGATAGCTAAACTCTAAAAAATAGCGTTTGTAATATGGCTACTGCAGAAGATATAATTCTCTGTGAATGAAGTTCATTCGTATATAATTTGTTTTCCTCCTAAAAGATAACAGGACTGGTAGTGTTAATTACAATGCATGTAATTAAAGCCTGAAAAATAAGAGCAGGACCACACAGTTTAAATGGTCTGTCTGCCATTAAGTAAAAATGCAGAAGCAGCCGACTAAGCCTGTTATTCTGTGTCCTGCTCAGAGAAGAGATGCTCCCAGCAAAGAGAAAATAGTTCACACTAATGTTGAAGACTCAAAGTGAATTTCAGAATATGGCCTTCGGGAAAATGTGTGTATAAGCTTTTACTATTTTGTCTGACACTTAGGAGGCTTCTGGAATAATACCTAGATTTAAGGTTATAAAAGTGAAAGGGAATACATTTTTGTGACTAAATACGTTTCTCACTAAATACATTTTCTTCTTATTTTTGTTACTAAATATTTAATATTATTTGTGCTTTTATATTTGACCTTTTAGGTTAACATTCTCTCCCCACCACTGTTTCTCTAGACATCACTTGGAATAAAATTTACAACCTGTTTCAAACTTGTGCCATCCTTAGGGGGTTTGCAAGTACATTTAACTTTATCTTGCCTTTTGTGGGTCATTGAGAACATTTACTGCAATAAATTTTGGTTTGGTTATTATCTTTCCCAACATGAATGAGGCAGTGATTATGTTCTGTTCAGTAAGTGCTAGGGGGAAAATGTCCATTTGTCTGGTGGTTATGAGTGGTGCAGTGTCATGAGTGGATGTCATGAGGAGAAAAACCAGAGGAGGGAGCGAGGTGATGGTTCTGAAACATGAGGGAAGCTGTGTAAACAAGCAATGGATTCAATGGGAAGAGTCCAAGCACTTAAGATGGCTGTTGGATTGGATGAAGGAAACTTAAAATGTGGTAAAGATGCTTAAAAAAATGCTGAGTGAAAATGGAATGTCTGAAAGTACAGTGTTCTTAAAGTTTATGTAAAATATGTTGAAAGTAATTCCAATATCAGTGTTTTTAATATTAAGAAATTGGCAGGTTTTTAATATTAAGAAATTAATTTAATTGCAGTGTGAAAGTTCTCCCTGAGGGAAAGGGCTCAGTGACAGGGCACATGCAAAGGTGTATTTTGGGGAACTTGTACAAGGGCAATATTGTCTTTCTTTACTCCCTCCAGTAAAAATCATCTCAACACTTTCCTCTTTAGGACTCTTCATTTCTTACCGTCACTCAGAATCACCGGCTTCTGTACTGTGTGACGTGTTAGATATACCACCACGTCAGTATTAACGTTGGTGTGTCTCCAGTTTGGTCTCGTCCTTCACTATTACTTTTTTTCTGCCACTTTTAGTAAACCCCTGTCTTTGCCTCTGCTGTTCCTTTGACTGTAATGATATTTTCCTGCTGTTATTCAGTTGCTCAGGTGTGTCTGATGCTTTGTGACCCCATGGTCCGCAGCACGCCAGGCCTCCCTGTCCTTCACCATCTCCCAGGGTTTACTCAAACTCAGGTCCATTGCGTCAGTGATGCTATTTATCCATCTCTCCCTCTGTCGTCCCCTCCTCCTTTTGCCTTCAGTCTTTCCTGGCATCAGGGTCTCTTCTAATGAGTTGTCTCTGCATCAGATGGCCAAAGTATTGGAACTTTAGCAACGGTCCTTTCGATGAATATCCAGGATTATTTCCTTTAGGATTGACTAAAGTCAATCTCCTTGCAGTCCAAGGGACTGTCAAGAGTCTTCTCCAATACTCTTCTAAAGCACAGTTCTAAAGCATGAATTCTTCAGTGTTCAGCTTTCTTTATGGTCCAACTCTCACATCCACACATGACTACTAGAAAAACCATAGCTTTGACTAGACAGACCTTCTTTTGGCAAATTAATGTCTTTGCTTTTTAATACACTGTCTAGGTTTTTCATAACTTTTTTTCCAAGGGGCAAACATCCTTTAATTTCACAGCTGTAGTCACCCTTTAAGATTTTTCTTACAAAGCCTTCCTTTTCCCTCAGGATTCTGCCAGATTATTTGGAAATAAGAGATATACTTATTTATAACCATTTCTCAAATATGCTGTGTTGTATTTATGAAGAGGAGGATAGGAAGAATTTCTGGAGAGGGTATAATTAGAGTGTTAAGGGCTAAGTTAAATACAGTTCTGATATTTAAACATATATTAATCTACTAGGTTAGAAATCACATGGATTAGGATTGGAAAAGTTTATGCCATGTGCATGAGGATACAATGGGTTACTTTTTAATTTCTTTTTTTATTGAAGTAGAGTTGATTTACAATGTATTATTTTCAGGTGTACAACAAAGTGATTCAGTTTCATATATATATATATATATAAAACATGCATACTTACATAGTTTTTTTCAGATTTTTTTCCCATATAGGTTGTTACTAAATATTGAGTGAAGTTCAATACAATAGATGTGCTATACAATAGATCCTTGTTTACTTTATATATAGTAGTGTGTATATATTACTCCTAAATTCCTAATTTATCCCCTCCAACCTTTCCCATTTGCTAACCATAAGTTTGCTTTCTATGTCAGCTTCTGTTTTGTAAATAAGTTATTTGTATCATTTCTTTTATATTCCACATATAAGTGGTATCATATGATATTTGTCTTTCTCTGTATGATTTACTTCACATAGTATGATAATTTCTAAGTTCATTCATGTTGCTGCAAATGGCATTATTTCATTCTTTTTATGACTGAGTAATATTCCTGTGTGTGTGTGTACACCTGCATGCATCTTCTGTATAGTTAATTAGGGAGGTTTTTCAATATTTTTTAAGTTTAAAATAATAATACAGTTATTAATCATATTTCAACAACTCAAATAATTTGTAAATTAAAAGGAAGAGATTTGCAGACTGGCAGAAGAGTAGTGGTTGCTTTGACAACCATCCAAGAGGAAGAAAAATGAACAAGGTAGTAATATTTGGCTGAACAGGGAATTAGCAGTTGTCTTTTTGAGGGGCCACCATGGTAAAGTAGTGTAAAGTTGTTCCATTTGTTTCAGAGTTATTGGGATCCCTGGGTGGAAGTTAAATGTAGACAAATTATTACTCATCCTCAGAGTTGTTTTTATAATTAGATCTAATTAGTCTAATATTGGAAAGAATCCGTTCTTACTAGAGAAGAGAAAGTCTTTCTAATCTTAGAGGTTTCAGATAGATATCCATGGCCACCTGGCTAATGAGACAAAGATTTGTTCCTTCATTGGCTGATAGGTAAGGCCAGAGAATCTCTGAAGTCCCCACCAACTGTAAGTTTCTATTATAGATGTTAAATGCTATATAGATGTTAAATGGGTACACTTTTTCTGTATTTTTAAAAAATCTGGCATGAATATTATGGAAGAAAAGTGAACAGGTTGACTATCTACCTATATTCTTAAAACAGATTTTAGATATGGACTTTGGACATGTTACAGTCTTTATTCTGGAATTTAATACATGCTGTTTTCTACCTTCACTTTTCCTTCTTGTTTTTTTCTTTTCCTTCCTTCCCTACCATCCCCTCCTTTGTCTTCTTCTTTCCCCCTCTCCTTCCCATACCTCTGTCTCCTTAATTCATTCATTCCCCTTCCTCTCACCTTTTTTTTTAAATTCTTTCTTTCTTTTTATTTAAAATTCCTAATCGTTGGATATACTCCTGAGCTAAATTGAACAAAATGGAGACTATGATTTCTCTCCTCCCTTTCCATGTTCTTCTTATTTCCGGATTCACCAGCTTGAAATGGTCACTGGCCTGGACTTTATTGCATGGCCATAAACAAACTGGCTTAATGCCGCCTCTGCCTCTAAATGATATGCTGAGGTTGTATAAGGCCAGCATTTGTCACCCTGGCAGAACTGTTTATTTTATGCGTAGACTTGTTCCTGGATTAGATGCCTAGGACTTTGTTCGAACTCTTGGTGTCACATGTGCATGATTTGGTTCCCTGTAGAAAGTGGAGAAATAATTACAAATCCAGTTCTGAATCTTTGTTCATTAGGCTGTTGAAAGTCTTGAAAAGATATTGCTTCTATAAGAAAAGGCCTCCATCTTATTCCCCGAAGTCCAAATGTATACTTGCTACATAAGGTTATCTCAGCTTCTCTGAGCACACTTTGAAACAGGCGATTATGGAAATAATTAGGATCCAAATAGTTGGAGATTTTTAAATTAAGCTCAGAAACATGGAGCTAGTAAATCTCATTTTGCAACAGTTAAGCTCATAGACCTAAGAAATATTATTATATTATCACCACTTCAAATTATTACTTTTAACATTATATTTGTTTCTATTCACACTTTATTTGCAGAACAAAGAATTATAATTTCAGATGATAATAGTTATTTGGAATTGTCTACCTATTTTTTCAGTTTTGATAAAAGGAACTCATATATACATATACACAATAAATGACATGAATAACAAATTATTGTGTTACTTTTCTAGGTGAAGACCCTGAAACAAGAAGAATGAGAACAGTTAAAAACATAGCAGACTTGAGGCAGAACTTAGAAGAGACGATGTCCAGTCTTCGTGGGACCCAGATAAGCCACAGGTCTTCTTCAGTTCTGCCTGTTTGGGGGCCAATAAAGAAAGCCAGCAAGTGCTTAACTTCTTATAATGATAAAGAAGGGATTTTAGTTTCCCTTTACTATTTTCTCACTTAAATTTTATGTGACAATAAACTGGTGACTTCTCAGCACCTATCCAGTGATGTTTTTTACCCCTATCCATCTCTTCATATAATTTCCCATTCAGACTGAATTAGCTACTGAACTACCACCATCACTGCTAAATGGATTTTCATGCCTGCCTTAAATAACAATGGCAGATGTAGTTAAAATGCATCTGAGGAGGGATGTTAGAGAGAGTTTCAAACTAATTGTGGTTTACTTTCAGAAAAGTTCCAGGAAGGCTGCAATGAGTTAAATTAAGGGCTAGTTGAGAATATGAAACATTGTTTTAACCTAAAGTGTAATGATGGCCTTTGTTGGAAAGCAAAAAGAAAAAGCTATGTGAATGCCCCTTCCTACATTTTGATACCTACAGAGGTGTTGAGAAATCCCAAAATGAATGTATAGTTTGACTTCCATGAAAATGGACATCACTCTGAGAAATGACTCTCAACTATAAGCCTTCCCGTGTTCATGTACTCTGGGTTGGTGACCCCAGGTGAGCCAGTGTCCAGCGACTTCTCTGTTTTATTGACAGCACCCTGGAGACAACATTTGACAGCACTGTGACAACAGAAGTGAACGGCAGGACCATCCCCAGCTTGACAGGCCGGCCCACCCCCATGGCCTGGAGGCTGGGCCAGGCGTGCCCTCGACTTCAGGCTGGAGATGCTCCGTCGCTGGGTGCCGGCTACCCTCGCAGTGGTGCTGGGAGGTTCATCCACACAGACCCCTCGAGGTTCATGTACACTACGCCTCTCCGTCGAGCGGCCGTCTCTCGGCTGGGAAACATGTCACAGATCGACATGAGTGAGAAAGCAAGCAGCGACCTGGACATGTCTGCTGAAGTCGACGTTGGTGGATACATGAGCGATGGTGATATCCTCGGGAAAAGTCTCAGGACCGATGACATCAACAGTGGGTAAGTGGCCATGGGCCCTTGGCTCCAACAGAATTGTGTGAAGAGGGTGGTCTACCGAGATGCATTAGCTACAGGAAGGGATTTGTTGTATAGTCACGAAGTCCTGTCCGACTCTTGCGACTCCACAGATTGTAGCCCACCAGGCTCCTCTGTCCACGAGATTTCCCAGGCAAGAATACTGGAGTGGGTTGCCATTTCCTTCTCCAGGGGATCTTTCTAATCCAGGGACTGAAACTGTGTCTCCTGTATCTCCTGCATTGGCAGGCAGGTTCTCTACCACTGATCCACCTGGTAAGCCTCCAGCAAGGGAGTATATAAGGTTAGTTAATAAATTGTTAGAAAATGTGAGAAATCTAAGGTTATTTGGGGGTATTTCAGCCTTCTCTGATCACTCATGAATAGTAAAATATCCAAAATTTCTCTAAAATCTTTTCATTATAATCCATTAACTTTTTCTATTGTTAATTCAGAGAAACACATATGCCATGTGTTTTTCAGAGTGATCTTCACATGCTTCTTAAATAACAGATTTTGTAGTGAAGGACATGGGAAGGAGACATGTTTTGCTGAACTGCTTGATTTTTGGGGGGCTTGTCAAAGCTGCCTGTAACTGCTCTGAGGAACACATATTTTCTAGCATTCTTAATTATACACCTCTGATCTAACTTTAAGATTTGAAAGTTTCCATCTGTTTATTCTCTTTTTTGTTGGCATCTTAGCCCATTTTCCTTCTGTTTCCTATTACATTCCAAAAAAAAAATATTGTGATATAAAACTCTCAAAGAGTATTTTAGCAATTTGGAATATTTAGTTCAACCTGAGGATGATCCCCAGTGGCAGAAATAGGATATTCTATTAAAACTACTTCTATTAATGACTATAGTTGCCACTTGGAAAACTTATTACCTACTTCACTCTTGTTAAGTTCATTAAGGACATTGTCATTTAACCAACCATCCACTAAGAACCCTTATGAGGTGTGTATTTTTACACCTGTTTTACAGATAAGGAAACTCATCACAGTTGCCTTAACTGTATTAAAGCTAGTGAAGTGAAGTTGCTCAGTCATGTCCGACTCTTTGCGACCCCATGGACTGTAGCCTACCAGGATTCTCAGTCCATGGGATTTTCCAGGCAAGAATACTGGAGTGGGTTGCCATTTCCTTCTCCAGGAGATCTTCCCGACCCAGGGATTGAACCCGGGTCTCCCCATTGTAGGCAGACGCTTTACCGTCTGAGCTACCAGGGAAGCCTGTATTAAAGCTAAGGGAAGACTAAAATGGCATTGGAACTCAGATACATCTGACTTCAAAACCCAGGCTCTGTAATACAAGGAAAAACTTTCCAATTAACTTTATCTATATTTTTCATGCGAATCTGGGTTTTGACCTATTCTTTGTCCTTATGCTTCTGAGAGGACTAGTCTCAGAAGTCATTCTTTATACAAGTAACCTTTCCTGACTTCATTCATGAAAAACTTGTGTGAATGGGGACAAGACCTTAAAAAGTACAAAAGAGCTTTTGATCAGACTCAAAGCTCTGCTTTGATATCCTGATACCCAGCAGTGCACCCCTGGTGGCCACCTTCTTTGAGCTTCTAAGGAGCTAGAATTAGGGAGACAGGTTATTGTTAATTAGGGTAGGAGGTAGTTGAGTTGCCACTGGAGTCATAGCGTCTAAATTAAGTCTGTTTCTAACATGTGCTGTCTGTGATCTCCTCGAGAGCTTAATTTACCCAAATCCCTCTCTGTAATAAAGACAAAATTGCAGAATCTTCATTAAATCGTTAGGAATGAAGAAAAACCCACAAGTTTTCCTTAAGCACAAAGTCTTTCACAATGTAAGTGTTCAGTAAATTATCCTTGTCTTCACAATTAGATTTTTATCAGTAAAGTTATTAACCTGATGACTAATAACCTCATAATCACAGGGTATGACCTCGTATAGGAGATGGTTGAAATTGTGAGAGGTATGAAGAGAGAATCCTGGGAAAATAATAGAGAAGAGAGATCATGAGATGGATTATGTATGTATATATTAGACAAATTTGTTGAGTTCTTCCTATGTGTAAAGCAACATTCTAGACACTATGTGTTCAGTGGTGAACATACAGACACAGTGCCAGCCCATGTATTGTTCACATGTTAGTTTTTTTATATTTTTATGTGTTCATTTATTCAATAAACAAATAGTAATATATGTACATATATATATAAGTGTGTGTATATACATTCTTAGATAAGTGGGTTTTGAAGGCATTTTTTTTTTTTAAACTGAGTTCTGTTTATAGTAATATATTTTACCAGCATACCCATATTCAGGAGCTATATTAGGTAACTAACTTCTGTAGCAGAGAAATTTCAAAATCTCAGCAACTTAACACAAAGAAGTTAATTTCTCCTTCACGTAAAACCCTTCCTGGTGTTTCTGATCATCAGTCGGGGAATGTGTAAGACACTGTCTTTCAGAGACTAGGATGATAGATAACATGGCTATTACCCAGCCAGACAGCCAATGTCACCCTGGGGGTTGATTTCAATAGGCAGATGACAAAGAGATAGAGAAGCGAGGTGTAAGAATATTTCATGTGCACAAAGCCTGGAAGTGGGGGTATGACTTCTACCCACCTTCCCTCATGCAGAACTCCGGTGGTCACATCTAATCGTCAGAGCAGCCAGGGACCACTATTCAGCTGTGTGCCTAGAAGGAAGAAGAAATTGGTTTGATGAGAGCTGATAAGTCTTTGCAGAACTCTCTAATGAGAAATTTTTAAAAATACTGTTACCCCTTTTCCTTCTTGCATGTTCCCTGACTCACTGGAAACCTGTTTCTCACTTCTGTTCTCTGGTTTTGTTCGCTATTGGTCTTTCAGATGAGGTCTTGAACAGTCCCACAGATGAGTCTGTATAAGTACATGTTCATGGTCTGCGTGTGTCGTGTTGACCAACCAAGTCACCCATATTCAGTGACTAAAGTAGAAGATAAAGAAAAAAAAGTAAAAATAACACAAAGTTTGTTTGAAAGCCCCCTCTGATGTTGACCTGCTTGGCATCATACACGCTGTCTTTCCCGCGGTGGAGTGCAGACGCGGGAGTGTGACAAGTGACTCAGAGTCCTGACCCTGAGTGGAGGGTGACTAGCCGTGGTCAGAGGCAGGGCCGCTGGTCTCGGTTCAGCGCTGACTGGGGTTGCGGGAAGGACACCCAGGATGTGCGGTGTGTCCCACTGCTCATCTCTGAACGTGCTGTGCCCCTGTTGGCATCGGTAGGAAGCGGTCCAATGTGTCAGCCTAAAATTAAGACGTAGGAAGACATGCTCAGCGGAATTTAAATTTGATGTTTTCTTTAAGAAAAAGGGCAAAGAAATGTCTGTGCTACAATTCATGAGAAAATACTGAATCACAAAGTTAGTTCTCTGTTCCCAATTTTTAGAAGTATGTTTTAGTGACTAAATGGACAAAATGAGCCTCAAAAGGCATAGCAGTGAATAAAGATGTTTAATTTAGGATTTTCTCTTCATGTAACTGCAAGGTATGTCATGAAGTAAATGGAAGTGGAGTTTCATTTTTTCACATACTTCAGGTAGAACTGAGAAAATTAGGTAATCGGCATTCTGAGAATTCAAAATTTCTTGAAGCATGCAAAGGCTTATCTCTTTTTTCTCTTCTCAAAATTACTTTAAACACTTGGGGATGTGAATCTGCCAGTAATTAGGAATTAGTCAGAGGAAGGCCTCTTACTTATAATGAATATCTTTGGAAAAGTCTCCATGTAGGAAGAAAAAAAAAAAGGAATACCCTAGAAAATTGGAGGTAAAATTGCATATTTTAACTGGGTGGAAACTGGAGTTATCTCCAGGTGTCACAGTGATAAATAGTTGGGCCAAGAATATAACCTAAAATTCTACTTTCAATGGCCCAAACATGAAGTAATTTAATTCTGGGGAATGACATTTTTAAAAGAGAGGTGGACACTTTAATCCTGCTTCTCCCCTGCGAGTATGCACGAGTGCTCCATCGTGTCCGACTCTTGGTGACCCCATGGACTGTAGCCCACCAGGCTCCTCTGTCCACAAGATGTCTCAGGCAAGGACACTGGGGTGAGTTTCCACTTCCTCCTTTGACCCTCCTCATTTCTCCTGTAGTAAACTTTGTGAGTGACCAAAGCATGCATAACATTGGAAAAGATAGGGTTACCTGAGTTGGGTTAAAAGGATGTACATGGTAAACTACTTATTCCTAATCATCATGCTTCTATTCACTTCATATTCAAAATATGAGAGTTATTTTTAGTGAATGTGGAAAGTCTAATGGACAAATAGCTGGTTATGCTAGTCAGCATATACATAGCACTTATTATGTGCTAGGTAATGCTCTATGCATTGTACATATATTAACTCATTTTGATGTTGTTCAGTCACCCGATCATGTCCAACTCTTTGTAATTCCATGGACTGCAGCAGGCCAGGCCTCTCTGTCCTTCACCATCTCCTGAAGTTTGCCCAAGTTCATGTCCATTTCATCGGTGATGCCATCCGCCATCTCATCCTCTGATGTCCTCTTCTCCTTCTCTCTCAATCTTTCCCAGCATCAGGGACTTTTCCAATGAGTCAGCTATTTGCATCAGACAACCAAAATACTGGAGTTTCAGCTTNTTTTTCACTTCTATTTGCCATGAAGTAATGGGGCCCAAAGCCATAAGCTTAGATTGTTTAATATTTAGTTTTAAGTCTGCTCTTTCACTCTCCTCCTTCACTCTCATCAACAGGCTCTTTAGTTCCTCTTTTCTTTCTGCTGTTAGAGTGGTATCATCCACATGTCTGAGGTTGTTGATGTTTCTCCTGCCTGTCTTGATTCCAGCTTGTAACTCATCCAGCCCAACATTTCTCATGATGTGCTCAGCATATAGGTTAAACAAACAGGGTGACAGCAGGCAGCGCTGCCGTGCTCCTTTCTCAATCTTGAGCCAATCAGTTTTTCCATACAGGCTTCTAACTGTCGC